GTCAATGTCCCTCCAGGGCTTCCGTATTATTACGTTATTTTTTTTTAAAGCCTGGAAAAGTGGAAATAAAGTACAATATTACATGTACTTAACTGAAAATATAAGTCAAAACAAAAAAGTTATAACAAAAATCATAACAAGTAAGAAAATCATTTTTTTTTTGTTGAAGACATCCTGAGAAAATCATTGTTACGGAACCCCTGGAAGGACATTGACTTACTTGTTATGACTTATTTGTTTTGGCTTATTTGTTCCGAATTTTTTGTTGTTTTTTGTTGCTAGTTATAACTAAGTGTAGGTAAGCTATTGAGAACGATTAATTATACTGTTTTAGTTAAACGTACAGTACTGATGTGATGATTAAATTTTTATCTGTTAATAACGGACGCTCCGGAGGGACATTGACTTACTTCTCATGTGTTTTGACTTAGTTCTTATGACTTAACTTTGAATTCTTGGTAGTTAAAATTTGTTATCACAAGTTTACTCACAAAAAAGGCGTGAGAGATGGAGGCAGAGAAAACAGTAATATTTTGCCCTTGAATTTATTACTAACGACAAGATAAAATAGTAATCATGTTCTTGTCTTCAATCATTATGCAAACTGAAAGTGACATATAAGAATTAAGTAATAACTTTTAAGAAACATGAAATAAGAATTAAGTTATAACAACAAAATTAATTAAGTAATCACAACTGTACTGGACGTTAAACTGCATTTCATCAATCAAAACCAGTTAAAATTGGGCTAAAAATTATTTTAATTATAAAAGTAAGCCACGCAACAGGTTCTCAATAGCTTTCTTACACTTAGTTATAACTAGCTACAACACATTCACAACAAATAAGTCAAAGCAAATAAGTTATAACAAAAAAGGCATAACAAGTAAGTCAATGTCCTCCCAGGGCTTCCATACATCCCCCTGCCGACCCGTCACACAAAATAAAAGATTTTGCATACATAAGATGAAAAGAATTTGAAGTTTAAATAGAAAAAAAAACAGTCATATTCGAGTTCTATAAAATAATATCCATGCTTTTTACAACAGATTTATATAAAAGTTGATTTTTTGTTCATGAACAAAGGAATGAAGTTTTCATCAGTTGATCATGTTGATAGCTCTTAATTTGACCATACTAGAAGTATACAATGTCAATGACTTCTAAAAATATTCATAAAACAATTTCTTTGTTTCGCTTTGTAAATTACACACAATCTACAATAAAAGTCACGTTTATAATGTGGGAGGTAAATCGAAACTTCTTATAAGTGTAGTTCACAAACATTCCCAAGCTTTTAATTGGACGATACATAGATTGCAAATTAAGTTTCGTTTCAAAAAAACTACTTAAGTAGATTCCAGTGAAGCTTTGTACATCCATTTACCGTGTAGGAAATTTCATGAATTACAGAAGATGAAGTCCTTTTCTATTTTGTTATATTTGGGCTTTTTAGCCGCCATCTCCGAGGGACAAGTCTGTAACGATGACCGAGGTAACCTTCAGATGTGTAGCCCTCCGTTTGTAAATGCTGCCTTCAATAGGTCCGTCCAGGCCACCAACACGTGTGGTCAGGCGGGGCCCACGGAGTTCTGCCCCATTTCAGATTGGGGTCGGCGACTACCCTGCCAGGTCTGTGACGCTCAGAGTCCTAGGACCAGGCACCCCCCGGAAATGACGACGGACGCGGAATTCCCCAGAACCTGGTGGCAGTCAGATACAATGTTCGACGGCATTAGGTACCCTGTTGTGGTCAACTTAACTCTCGATTTAAGTAAGGAGATACATTGAGTGTATATTTTGTTTGTTAATGTACTTTAAAATTTTCTTTAAAAAAATACACTGCGCGCATAAGTCTTATAATGTAATTTTAAATTTCCTAAGGGAAAAAATATTAATCGTGACTTTTGCAATGGATAAAAGTAAAAATTCATTAAAAAATCATATCATAGCTTATTTTCATTCATGTGAATAATTATTCTCTTCTAATTCTTTCCAGAAAAATCCTATGATATTGATTATATCACTCTGCGTTTCCAAACTTCAGTACCTGAAAGTTTTGCAATCTTCAAGAGAACTACTGAAAGCAGTGACTGGACGCCATATCATTTTTTCAGTGCGTCCTGTCGGAATACATATGGAAAACCTGATAGGTGGTATCCGACTGCAGCCGATGAAGCCATCTGTTCGAGCAAACGTGGATACACTGACCTTTTCCCACTGACTGGTGTTCGTGTGCCATTTAGTACCTTGGATTTTCGCCCTGGTTTGTCTAGTTTCGACAATAATCCTGTCTTGCAGGTAGGTTCTATCAATGTTCATAATTCTACTTTTATCTTTGATCCTTAAACGTCGCGAGTTCGAATCCCACTGTGGGACGTGGATACCGGTAATTATACTGAGGTCCCGTGTCTCAGTAGGTGCTGGCACAGAAATGATTCCCCGCTGCTCAATGGACCTAGGTGCCGAGTAAAGGAAAACATTTTCAGCTCTCCACCGGCAAGTGGTGGCGTCTCCACATGAGTGAAAAATTCTCGAGAGGGACGTTAAACAACATACAATCAATATTTTCTCGTTTGAACGTACGAACATGCATGCCAATTAAACTTCGATCATTGATAATCTCTTCATACTTTTCAGACCAATGTACACATATTAAACTTCCCCTTATTTTTTTTATCAGGAATGGGTATCAGCCACAGCTATACGGATTTCCCTTACCCGAATGGATACATTTGGAGACGAGGATTTTGGTGGCGATACGGTCTTGAAATCATATTACTACGCTATTTCTGATATAGTTGTTGGTGCAAGGTACTTATATGAAATGTTTAAGTAAAATGTTAAGTATAATAGCGACTGGTTAACTTTTTCGACCTTTCTTCAGATCCAAAAAGTATATATGCTCATTTAAAAAATAAGAAGAATTTAAACATTGATTTGTACAAAATATCTTATAAAAATATTTTGGTACATCATGGAAACTTTTCTAGAATAGTTTCACCATTTCATTCAAGTTACAGTCTAAAAGTACTAGTTGTATATTTCTAGGTGTAATTGTAATGGACATGCCAGTGAATGTTATACTCCAGAAAGCCAAGAATCAGACAGAGAAGTTTGTAGATGTCAACACTACACAGCTGGAGTTGACTGTGAGAAGTGTCTGCCTATGTACAACGACAAACCGTGGGCAAGAGCAACATCTAGCAGCGCTTATGAGTGCCAGCGTAAGTATTCAGAAAGACAACCTCAACTTTTTCCTTTGAATTCGTTTATGCATGAAAACTGTGATTTTGATGAGCATTTCAAAATTGGAATTTGGACAGAAATCCTCTTTTATTAGTTTTTCTTTTCATTCAACTTGCCCCGTGGGAATCCGGGTTAGAGTAGGTCCTCAGTACCCCCTTCGTTGTCGTAAAAGGCGACTAAATGTGGCGGTCCTTCGGAAGAGACCGTATAAACCGAGGCACCACGTCACAGCAGGTGTGGCACGATAAAGATCCCTCCCTGCTCAAAGGCCGTAAGTGCCGAGCATAGGCCTAAATTTGCAGCCCTTCACCGGCAATGGTGACGTCTCCATATCAATGAAATATTCTGGAGAGGGACGTTAAACCGTATACAATCAATCATTCATTCAACATGATTAAAGTTACAATCATCACGCAAGAAAACAGCTTTATTGATGGAATGGATATATTCGTATTAGGTTGTGAGTGCAACAACAAAGCGGACAGTTGCTCATTTGATCAGGATCTTTACCAGAGTACAGGGAGGGGAGGTCGTTGTGTCGACTGTAGGGACAACACGGACGGTCCTCACTGTGAGAGGTGTAAGGACAACCACTATCAAAGGTCATCAGATGGAAGATGCACATCGTGTGATTGTGATCCTGTTGGTATGTTCGTTTCTGATGGTTGTATTATATAAATACTGCATGTAGTTGAGTGTAACATTGAAAATTTTCACCCCAAGAAAACCATTGTCAACCGAGGCGCAGCCGAGGTTGACAATGGTTTTCGAGGGGTGAAAATTTTCAATGTTACACTCAACTACATGCAGTATTTATTATATTATACTGAATGTTTTATACAAATACATATTACAGTGAACCGTGCGCGCATAAATTCCGCGCAGTCGCTATTTTTTGTAATAACACCCGTCGTCAAGCAATGTTGACTGTTTCTAAGCAGGAGGGCGTGGCTTCATTATTAAGCGGGTACTAGTGTTTTTTATCAAATGTTTCTCGACGAATCAGATTCAAGTAATTTACATAAAAGTATAATATATGCATTTACTAAAAAGGCACGGTTTTCGTTTGTGTAATTCAAAGTCGTTTTACATATACGAGTAGTCACTGGATTTTTATTATTTGGAGCGCTGACATTTTTTTACAGTTAAAGACGCTTGGAAAAACTTTTACACAAGGGCTATGTACGGAAGCTCCTTTACGATATAAATATTGAGCTCAACATTTCATTAAACAGGAGAGAAATAACGGTTATTTCAATGCACTTATAAGTTGTCCTTGAAGAAAACGACAACGACCCTACCCTCAGCTCCCGGTCTTCACAAGTTAGTGCCCCTAACACCATACCTATGACCACATTTTCTTATGCATTATCAATTCTGTACTTCCGTACATGATAGAATTTTAAATGTCCAAGTAAACGTCAACTGTAGAAAAGTCAGTGCAAGTTATGGCCAATTTCCTGATTTTAAAAAAGTCCAGTTATCATAATAGGAAATTATTATGTTATTATTTGAAGTAGCTTAAATAATTACCATATTCAAAATGTTTTCTGATTGTCGGCATTTTTATGGAAAAGCTACATGTAATAAAGATTTATTAAACAATTCTACCAAAAAATGGAAAAAATTTTAAACGACCGGTCTTAGAGAAGTGAATGCGGAAAACAATACTCTGTAAGGCTCACATGAACTTTTAACTTATGTGAATCAAAAATGACATTTTGTTTAAATCAAATTGTCAGGTTCTGATATCTTCAATGTGACGGAGCTGGGCAGTGTCAGTGTAAACCAAATTATACAGGAGAGAAATGTACAAGGTTTGTCAATTTTTTAAAATACAAAATGCACGTACAGTTTTTTTTTTATATATATATTTCTAATAGATCTATTCAATGTATTATGTTCCCCAAACGAAGTTGGGGATACAATAAGATTTAGAGCAGGTCTTCGCGTCTCCAACGGAAGACCTTGTGTCTACATTTTAATTCTGTTGTTTCTTTTCCACTATTATCATTATTATTTTTTTTCTTACCAATTTTGTGCAGGCGATTTCTCGAGAACGCCTCGACAGTTTTTCATGAAACTTTCAGCAATGATAGGAAACTATTTGAACTTTATGCGTTTTTTTTATTTTGCCGTCATCACTTCCGGTCGTGAGATATGGCCATTTTTCTGTTTTTAAAGTGTCATTTTGTCCGAGAGTGTTCTCAAAAACGGTTGGAGATTGGGTCCTGAAACTTTCAGAGATGATAGATTATGACTGTAGATTTGAGAAGGCTATATGGTTGTTGTTCGTCGAAGTGCCGTCGTCCACCGGAAGTAGTTTAAAAATATGCAAAATTTTTTTTTTCTTTTTAAAATGTTTCTTATTGAGGCAAATAAAACATGTAGAACAAAAGTAATATTATGTCCACCGGAAGTTATTTTTTCCAAACCGGAAGTAGTCAAAAAAAACGATCATTTTTCATCGAAATTATCAGGGATGATTCGTTCACACTCAGAAAGGAGTAATAGGTCATTTTAAGTACTTCCGGTCACGCCGGAAGTGAATTATAAAGACCGGAGGTTGTTTGAAATTGATAGATTTCACTCTTAAATGTGTTCTAAAAAACGTATTTTGAATAATTGATCTGAACACTTTTTTTCATTTAAAGTTGTTTTATACCCTTATCAATAATCGGACGGAAGACCTACTCGTTGCTTGCAACGAGATCTCATCTAGTTATTATTATTTTTTTTTCTTATCGATTTTGTGCAGACGATTTCTCGAGAACGCCTCGACAGTTTTTCATGAAACTTTCAGCAATGATAGGAAACTATTTGAACTTTATGCGTTTTTTTTTATTTTGCCGTCGTCACTTCCGGTCGCGAGATATGGCCATTTTTCTGTTTTTAAAGTGTCATTTTGTCCGAGAGTGTTCTCGAAAACGGTTGAAGATTGGGTCCTGAAACTTTCAGGGATGATAGAATATGACTCCTAGATTTGAGAAGGATATATGGTTTTTGTTGCCGTCGCGTCCGTCGTCAACCGGAAGTAGTTGAAAAATATGCAAAATTTTATTTTTTTCTTTTTTTAATGTTTCTTATGAAGGCAAATAGAGTGTCCCGAGTTATATTATGTCCACCGGAAGTTATTTTTTCCAAACCGGAAGTAGTCAAAAAAACGATCATTTTTCCTCGAAATTATCAGGGATAATTCCTTTACACTCAGAAAGGAGTTATAGGTCATTTTTAGTACTTCCGGTCACACCGGAAGTGAATTATAAAGACCGGAAGTTGTTTGAAATTGATAGATTTCACTCTTAAACGTGTTCTCACGTATTTTGAATAATTGATCTGAACACTTTTTTTCATTTAAAGTTGTATTATAACCTTATCAAAAATCGAACGGAAGACCTACTCGTTGCTCGCAACGAGATCTCATCTAGTTATTATTATTTTTCTTCTTCTTCCTGGAACTTTTTTGTCCGGGAATGATCTTGTAAACTGTTCGTCCGATGTAGGTAAAACCTTTTTAAGGGTTAGTAGACATGTTATGTAGATTTGCGGAATCAAGGTCATTTTGCGTGCACGTGCTTGCAAGAGCGTGCACGTGCAACACGTGAAATGACCAATATAATAGATATAGCCACAACTGTTCTATTTTTAGATGAAATGCTTTGAAACTCATAATGTGAGGATATATTAGTAGTATAGACATGATGACATGATGAAAATAGCAAGATCTCACGCGCATGCACGTGCACTTCGCTCTGATTGGCTGCAACTAAAGTCTCAATATCTTTCTTGTTTTTTGACGAAATCCTTTGAAATTTTGAACATAGTCATGCATTAGGATATCCTACAACATGAAATAAAGCAATTATGATGAAAACACGTGCATGCACGTGCGCTGCAATCTGATTGGCTGAAACTTTAAACAGCTATAACTCCCTTGGTTTTCAACCAAACAGGATGGGATCTGGAACATAGATAGATATAATAGACTTCTACAAGTAGGTACGGTCACCATGCACATGCATACACGTGCGTGTACATGTGCTGCAATCTGATTGGCTGAAACTTTTAACAGCTATAACTCCCTTAGTTTTCACCCAAACGGGGTGGAATTTAGAACATAGATAGATGTAATGGACTTCTACAAGAAGGTATGGTCACCATGCTCATGTATGGACGTGTGTATTAAAAATATAGATTGTGTAGACAAGATGATATGGTCATGACGCAAATGCATTCACATGTGCACGCGTGCAATGCTAAAGTTTAAATGATTTTTGTACACTTCTTTTTAAATGTTTTTAAAATCGCAGATGCATAGAGTTTGTCTTATTTAATGAAGCTTACAGGGAATATGGCACCAAAAAGGAGTTGGGGAGCGTTTGGGGAACATCTGTAACGGTCCCCGTTACAATTAGCACTAGTTACACATGAACTATAAGGTGATTGGTTGACCAAATTGATCCCCTTTGATGGGACTTAATCATACCCCTTTAAAAGCAAGTATTTTTATAAATATAGGCACTTTTTTCTGATTATGCATAGGACTTGCATCATGTAATTGATAATAATTTCCATTGCTCGATATTTCTCCCATTCTGTGGAATTTTGCAACAATGTATGATGAAAAACTTGTATGAAATTCCTGCTTTAATTTCAAACCAACCTGAATGATCATGGTTGTCATCTTTCTAGCATTGATACATGTAAGAGCATTTAGTTTAATTAAGGAAAATTATAAGGAAACAGTTGGATGACAAAAAATACTAATAAAATGATCAAGTGATTTTTCAATCAGTTTAAAAATTAAAAAAAGCTTCATTTCTTTACATTTCATATTTAACGTTGAAAGAAAATAGTTTAAATTCTTTTATAAAATGCATTTATACATGTAATACATACAATGTACTGCTCATTTGTAGATCGACAGCGAGAGGTTGAATTCTTCAAATGCCTTCCAATAATTTCAAACTTTCCTAGAGAAAGGAAACATAGACTATTATTTTATGTAAATCTATTTGTAAGAAATAAGATTAGGAATAAAAGTGAATTCAAATTAGCAGAGCTTTATGATTATTTACGAAAATGTCTTTTGAGGGCAAAATCTTTGTGATTGGTTTCCTTTTCACTTGAATCAAATATAATGAAATTTATGAGATAACGAACAGTATTCAAGATCAAAAGTCCATTGAAACAATACAAATCAGGAGCAGAGCAAACACAGCTAGACGTCTAGAACATCAGAGGTGGGATCAGGTGCCATGAGGAATGAGCCCTGCCGACCAGTCCCTACCGCCGTGTGCTCCTTGTTATAATAAGTAAAATACATGTTACTGAGAAATAATATAATCCTTAAATAAGTTTTTATTTTATTTATAAGAATAAATTGGTATATTCTCTTGCCATTTTGCACAAAGAATTTTAAATGTCTTCGAGCCGAAAATGACTTATAATGGCCTTCTTGTACACAAATCAACTCATCGAAGCTAACTTTGGACCGTTTGTTTATTTATTTGAAGATTGTGGTTACCAATCGTGGTCAAAGGGTATACAAAAAGAGCAATATATGTTTGTCATATCGCCTAGTACCTCTCCAGTGCTTTGGCATTTATGTCCTTTCCACCACATGTTCTGGTTTCTACAAGATATACCACACAATATTGTTGTTTCTTGTTTGTTTGTTTTTTTTTTTTTTTGTCAAAAGCCAAATGCTGTGTGATTTTTTTTTAATTCTTTAATTAATGCAAAATTAAAGTAGACAACTCACAAATAAAAAAAATGAAGTCCTTTAAAAGTGCTAGCGAAATGTTCATGCATTCTGGGACATGGTTATGTTTAAGTAAATAATGTATGTTTTGACATTTGAGAGTAATCATTTTAATTAAAGTATAGCAGATCTCTTTACATCAAATTCATCAATGAATGATTCGGAAAGTTAAAACATCTATTTATCTTATTGATGGTTTTGTCAAGTGTGTTTTTCTGCAATACGGTGATGATGCAACTGTTACGGTTGTAATGCAGCGATTGCAAATCATGAATGTAACATTCAAGTCTTAGAGGCGGGTTCAACAAACGTTTTCCTATCGCAAATTTTAAATGGAAAAGAGTTTTAAAATATTTTGTTATATTGATACATGTATCAACATTCCCATCATTCATGTAAAATAAACATTAGGATGCATTTCCATATAATCTCAAATTTTCGTGATTTTATTCCTTCAAGTGTGTGTGATGTAAATATCAGGTTTCATGTTAATATACAAAATATGTTACTGTATCCATGCAATACATTTACATGCAAAATACATTACAGTATTTATATAATTAAAGAAGAAAGAAAGCCCTTGTGCATGCTCATATACATTAGTTCGAAATCAACTTGTTTTACATACCTTAGTTGTTTTTCTGAAGATGATGTCTCCTTTTATAAGCCTACTCTTACTCTACGCATCAAAAGCAGTGGCAGATGTGGCAAATGTTACAAAGTTATTTAACGGGCCAAGTCTCCTCTGCTTTTGATTTTGAAAGTATGAAGCGCGAAATAAAAAGTTTTGTTCAAACCACGGAAAAATCGATGAAAGAGTTGAAGAAGCAGGTGAAACTTGTTTTGACGAAAGGGGGTATGTTATACTTTTTCTGAAAATTTTGCATTCTATGATTCCTATTAAAAAACATGAGTATTTTAAAACTTTTTTCTAGGTCTTAAAAACAAGCGCCCGGGCGTTTCCAAAAAACTTAATTGCTGATTCTTTCAGTTTAAAAAATCGTCTGTTTACATTTTTTCTTCTATTTCTCTCATACTCGATACGCCTAAATTATTTGGATTTAAAAAAGAATCCTAAAACTAATCTAAAGATAAATTATAAATATGTGTATGCAGTAGTACGGAAGCCCGTTGAGGCCAGTCCAGGGAAAGAAATATTTTTTATTGCGTTTAAACACAATGATTATTGCGTTTAATCGCAAAACTTTGCATTTAATGGCAATAATTATTGCGTTTAAAGCGCAATAATATTACGATTAAACGCAATAATTTTTGCGTTTAAACGCAATAATATTTTTGCCAAAACCAAATGTCTTTTTTTTAAAAGATATCATATCTAAATTTAGATGGACATATTTAAATTTTAAGTATATTAGATAATAACTTCGTATATTTTTAAAAGGATATATTTGATAATATGGGCTTCAAAAATAACATTATTTAATAATTATGTTATTTTCCAATATTTACAGGTACCATCAATCGCATACATGCACGGTAAAATTGATAGATAACCTTTTTTTCTTGAAACAAATTGTATAAATCTATCTTCAATAATGATATTCTCAGATTTTCCCAATGTTTTCGTGAAAGTACATGTACATGAATCATTGTACTTTATTTTCACTTCTCCTTGCTTTGTTTTGGAAAATATAACGTAATAATTAAAGGGGTATTAAATTTAAATAAAAGTGAACTTGAGAGAAAAAAATGTCTCAAATAAAAAGGGGATCCTCGAGTTATTAGGAGATTTTTTTTATTTCAATGTAATGTGTGCACTGGGTTCAACGTTTCGAAATATTTGACATTTCGAAATGTTTACTTGGTCAGAGATAATTACAGAATTTGAAACTAGATGCTGTCATGAGACAGTAATACCCGCACTAAGGTGTTTGCCTCTAAATGCACACTCCTCTAAAATTAGGCTTTACCAAAGAAAAAGTCAATATAATTTAATAATTTACATAATAGGGCCTCCATGTATTCATCAAATTGAGCATAATATTCTCAAGTGAACATGTGACCCGTCACCATGGGCCTCGATCTTATAGGTACATGTATTTCATATTCATAATTCATTACCAGTCTGAAATTAAACAACAGAATTCAATTAATGATGTAAATTAGGTTTGAAACAAGGGGGGGGGGTAAATTTTTGGCCCATAATTGGAACTTTTTAAATCTATTTTCTCATATAGATCAACAACAAATATTATTCAAATTAGTTTAAAGCGTTTTTGATGATTTTTTCCAAAATGTACAAATTTTTTATACTTGATTAGGCAGAAACACCTTGAAAGCTGCCATATACCATTTATACCCAATCAATTTAGTCAACCCCTACCCTTCTCCCATCAACACACACACGCGCAAACACACCCTATTTTCCTGTTTTTGGAAATAGGCCTAGATGGCAAAGTTAAGATAAAACATCTTTTGTAAATAATAATTTTAAATTTGTTCTTATACTGTAAATGTATCTGAAGACCTGCATCACATTGGGCTTGCGTCACGTACCTAACTTAAGTACTAGTTTTACCATTATCATTTTTAGATAGCACTGCACGTGCAGTACTAGGCCTAGTGTTGTGTACACATCATTGCATGTATGTCAGTTGGAATTATTTTGTGTTTAATTGGATTATATTTCATGAAGTTGGAGCTATGGCAGTCGGTAAGTACACGTTTTGGTATAGATTTGGGTAAAATAGTCTGAAATGCAACTGGTTAGGTTAAAGTTTAAAGGATCAAAGGTCATCCGATGCTGCAATAAGACGAATTTCACATTCTAAAGAGTTATCGCCCGTTATCGACGTTACATTCAGTTACAAAATACAGAATTTTTTTCTGAGAGGGAGGGGGGACTTCCAGACCAGAATTTTCTGAGAAGCAAATAAAAGGAGAAGTTATGGTGGTGTCTGTTTTCTAGGGTGGAGGGCATCCAAAGTCTTTTTTATATTATAGTCCTGCAAATTGGAGGGGGGGGGGGGGGATCTCAAGATACACTTCCAGTCCCTGTAAACAGTAATGGCAAATGATCATGTGACTCCTAAATAGTAGGAAACTTTTTCCATTTGACAATACATAATTTTGCGCTTTTTGTGTTATTATGTTATGTAAATTTAATGGTATAAAGGTTTTGAACCCCCTGGAGGTCATCCCCACTCTCCTAATGATTCTAACTGGAAATGTTCACAATATGACTGCATTAAATGAAATAAAAGTGCATCAATGATAAGATTGCTTGACATTTCATTCATCAACCTATCCTCCTAGAATTAGGAATGAAAATCATTCAAAGAGATGGACCACATTAAAGTATTTGTATATAGGCTATTAACATATTTTTTTAAAAATGTAAAACAAGCAGTAGTTTGCATACATGTCATGAATATAAACAGGGGTCTGGGATGGGGTGAAGGGAAGGATCGAGTTCCTGTCTCTTTACGTCTTAATGGTTGAAAACTCCTAAAATGAATGTTGACCTCAAATCCGACTTGTCCTCATTATTTTTCAAGTGGGGGTGTCTCCATTTGAGTGAAAAATTCCTGAGAGGGATGTTTAACAACAAACAAACAATTAAATGACATAAAAACACAATATTGATTTGCGTTAAGAAATATGCAGGGGATTTTTTCCATCATAAATCTTCTTCTCAAGAACAGCAAGGGCATTATTGTCCCCCGTTTTGGGGGAAAGGGAGGGAACATTATACACTTATTTAATGACTACGAGGTAAACAGTCAAACTGTTGTCCCGAGGTAGTGGGGGAGACCTGGATAACTGTTGCCCGAGGCCAAAGGCCAAGGGCAACAGTTTCCCAGGTCTCCCCACGTACTACTGAGGGACAACAGAGAGAGACCTAGTAGTCATTGAATAAGTGTTTTATTACCTAACCTACTATATAATTAATTAAATTGGAATAAAAACACACAAAAAATCAATAAAAAGTTTTCACAATTGTTTATTCACATACTTGTCTATTACAGGGATTTTCCACTGCCCCGTGTAGGGCCGAATATGGGCCCCCACAGGATGAAAATCCACCATTCAGTCGACTGAATGGTGGCTGAATGGCCACTGAATGGTCACTAAAAGGTCACTGAAAAGACCCTTTCCCGTGACCTTTCCGTGATCATTCAGTTACCATTCAGTCGACTGAATGGCACATACATTTCAGTGACCTTTCCGTGATCATTCAGTTGAATCTTTTTATTGAATAATCGGCTTATTTTTTTACCTAAAAATTTTATTTCACTTTTTCCTGGTATAATAGCATTAAATGTATCTAA